CAGTGGGAAATATTGTTATTCAAATTATCGTTCCCCAGGCTGTCGCTGCAGGAAGAATTATTTCCTCACGAAGGACTTGATGAGTGATAAGAGCCCAAATCCAGTGCTGATTTACCTTTGAAAATGGCGTGCGGGCAAATTCTTTAGAATAAGTTTGACAAATAAGTGGCATTGAAATTTCACTTTCTCATCTCTGTGCGCTGAATAAAAAAAAAAAGAAGTAAAAACTAATGGTTGGGTATTACATGAAAACGTAGATCCTTATTTTCTAGCTGATAAAGATAAATTTGCAGTAGTAAATAATAATTTATTGTTTTTTTCACTTTGTTGTATAAAAGGATTGGGGTTGGCAAACAAATGAAGATGGAGCAAATAAAGAAAAATAAACAGCTTTTAGTACTGTAAGACTTCATTGGCGTTGATAATATAGTCTACAGGACGAAGCCTACAGGAAACTATTGTAGACTTCGTGCTATCCGTATAAGTGAAGTTAAGTGTTCTGCCCGCCGTCTTACCTTCTCCTATTATGCATCAATTGAACGAGCACCTTTGCCAATCTCGTTCTATATATTTGTGGGTGTAAAATTGTTAGATGAAAGAAGGTCAAGTTTTATTTTATAATATTTTTATGAAACTCCTTTAATTTTCCCACATAAAAGCTAGATTTTTTAAAAAATTCACGTTTTATATAACGTTTTTTTTAATTACACAAAATATGACCGTGCACGATCGGCATTTGTCTGCTGGTGAGCAATCATCCTTCAGAAAAAAAATCCCTCTGATCAATATCCTCTTACTCGTAAATCCAACCCTTTGTTTTGCTATTGTAAATGGTCGTTCGGTGCGAATTCTCTTTTGTTCTCTTGTTTTGGTAATCTGGGATTTTTGAGAGTCCAGACATTGTGTTTTTTATAGCCAGTCTTTTGTTTCTCCTCGGGCAACGAAAGCTGCGTATAATCTCCAGCACAAAGGTTACAGGTGAGATTTGTTTTAATCTGTAATGGCTGGCGTATGTGTAAAGGGATGTTTCAGCTTGCGTTAATTGAAATCTGGAAACGTTGATCTGCTAATTGTTTGATCCGTGTTTCTAATCTGGGAATTGTTTTTCGCATTTACACATTGAGGTTTGTGTGTGTTAATAAACAAATCTTTACCTTGCTAATGGTTATGGACAGTCCTGAGTTATTGGCGTTTCAATATTCAGTGATAGTCACCACAACTAATGTGTATATTACAGATGATATTTATTTTGTAAATTGTCCTACTTACGTACATAGTGCTCTTTCTATTTGACGAATATGTTTGCCGGTGCTGTTTTGCAATAGCTTGATCCTCACCATTTTGTGATGTTTAAAATGAATGCAAAATTATTATTTTTTAATCTTCTTTTGAAATGACTGTGGCCAAGTTTAGAAATTGGACAGCTTGCGTTAAGTCGGAATGTCATTTAATTTTTTACAGCATAACAACTGAAAATTAGGTAGTGATAATGAAATTTTCGAATTAATCTCAAGTGCGTCTTATTTAAAGCGACTTGTGGGTAGCTCATTTAATACAAATACGTAGATTATACTTATCTCCGGAGTTTTAAACTGTTTTTGACGTTAAATAAATAAATACAAACACTCTAATGGTTCGGACATGTTCTCGCAACTCGTCTCTTAGCCCATTTCGGACATTGAGCGTCCGTTGAGTAAATCCTGCTATAATTAAATGTATTAATAACATTACAGATACATACTTTTGTGTAAACACATACATAATAAGCTTAAATATTTTAAGATCTTTATCCTCTCTCTCTCTCATTATCTATCTTTCCTCTCGTGTCTCTTTCTCTCATTCTCTCTCCCCTCCTCTCTCAATATCTCTCCCCATTCTCTCTCCCCTCCTCTCTCTCAATATCTCTCCCCATTGTCTCTCCTCTCATCTCTGTGTCCCTCTCACTCTCTGACTCTTCCCCCTCTCTCTCCCTCTTTCTCTTCCTCTCTCTGTCTCCCTCTTTCTCTCTCCCTCCCAATCTCTCCCTCTTTTTTTCCATCCTCAAACGTGAAGTTTTCCTTTTGAGGACTGATTGATTAACCCTACAATCTTGCATTGTAATAAACTCTCTTCCGCTTTTTACTTCGTGAGTACCGTATTAGCGTGTGTGTCTTCCTGCAGGGGCGGATCCAGAGACACATTTGAGGAGGGGAAATCAAAATGTTTTTGTCCAATGTGCCATTATACAGATTTAGTAAAATGTCGCAGGCTACACGCAGCTCATTCTGCTATACGATTTTGTTCGTATTCATGATCGTCCGAAAATATTTTTGTTTGAAAGTTCCGTGACATTAATAGTTACTGAATTTTTTTTTGGTGAGGGGGGGGGGTTCCCTCATTTCCCTCCCGTGGATTCGCGCATTATTCCTTCTAGGCTTCGCGTCGCGTTGCGTCGCGTCGAGTCGCGTCGAGTCGCGTCGAGTCGCGTCGCGTCGAGTCGCGTAGAGTCGAGTCGAGTCGCGTAGAGTCGAGTCGAGTCGAGTCGAGTCGAGTCGAGTCGAGTCGAGTCGAGTCGAGTCGAGTCGAGTCGAGTCGCGTCGAGTCGCGTCGAGTCGCGTCGAGTCGCGTCGAGTCGCGTCGAGTCGCGTCGAGTCGCGTCGCGCTGAATCGCCCATTAGGCGCGTGTTCTTATCGGCGTCGCCGCCCGCGCCGCCTGCCGCCGCCGCTCTGCCTCCGTGTGGCTCCGGCTCGCGCTGCCCGGCGGTTGCGTTCTCGCCGCGCACTGCGCCCAACGCCACAGCACACGGGCCAAAATTACAAAAAAAATTAAATGAATTAGCATTAAAATGCCGATTCACATCTATGGAAAAAGTTACGTGCACCTACTACGATAATAGTCTGAACCCCGCTGTGATGCACGTACAGCGGGGTCCCATGATGGCTGATTCGCGATTTTTTTTATTTATTTATTTTTTTATTTTGAAAAGTTACTACTATGATTTACGACCGCACTATAAGTTACGCTTTAAATATATTACATACCATCATGATAAAAACGAACCATGAAAATCGCAAAAGCATTTAGTTTCCGTGTGAGTTGGCTAAGGTGAAGAGGTGATGTCACTGCAGTGCCTCTGACCGACAGGTGCTGCGGTTCGGGTCCCGGCAGTGGCCAGCTGAATAGCTATGCGCAATTAAGTTGCTGTCTGGTGGAGAATTCTAGCGGCTGTCTGCTTTGATCGGTAGTTTTCCGTGATGTCTCCGATCAACACAGGAAGAATGCCAGAGTAGTTCCGTAACAAACAGGCCACGGAGCGCGCACTATCTTTCCTTCCTATTCATTTTCCTCATTCATCTTCAGCCCGTACTTAAAGTCACACTGACATGCACTACACCACCACACATGCCGGGAGACTAGTCGGGAGTTTACAGCTTGTCCCTGCTGAACCGATGCTCCGCTGGTGGGAAATACCTAATTGGGGAAAACCCCGCTAGCCGAAGGTAGGTGGACGTCAGATCTCTAATGCGATTTTTCCAACTCCTCCCCTGGCAGGTATCTGCTATTGACGGTTTTATCCAATCGGGAGCTTGAACGTCACGACGACATAGTGACGACGCTATGGTGACGTTCAAGCTCCCGATTGAATGAAACCGTCAACAGCTGATTCCTGCCAGAGGCAGAGATGAAAAACCGGAATTTTTATAGTGTGGGAACTTCCCACCGTTTTCTCAGGTGGGAAATGCACTACACTTACGGGACTAATGAACTTTGCAGTTGACGCGATCGGAATCACTAATCAATCAACCTCGAGAAGCTCTAAGCTCGCGACTGGTTTCGTGACATGTGTGGTAGTGCAGTGCAAGTCAGTAAGTGTGTGTAGGTAAGAGGTGGAGAAAACACAAGGAAGAGGAAGCAAAGATCGCCGAAGTCTGTGGCCCGTTTGTTAGGGAACTGCTCCGGCATTAACCTGGTATCGATTGGACAAACCACGACAAACTCCCGGCGAGAGCAGCATGCCGCTAGACGTCTCCTCCAGAGAGCGACTTTCGACCTAGCTGACAAGCTAGAGTCGAAAATCTTGCCATTGTCGGGAGAGTAACCCTAGGACCTCCCGGTCAAAGCACTGCAATGACATCCTCCCATATAACATGGTGGAAACCATTACGGTGGCGCGCTCTGCTGCAGCACCTTCTTACAGGAACTAAAACAACAACGATACTTAAATCGTGCGTGGCTGCTGCGTGAGTTCGCGGGTCACAAGCAGGCCCTTAATGTTATTAAAGATAGCGCCGATGTTCGCGCTTTCTTCACGTGTTTCTTATATGGGTATATTAGGGGAAATTGAACTTTTATTAGCCACGTTTCGTATTTCTCTCAATTTGTATGTGAGAAAGTTGGCGAACCTAACCTGCATCTGCACCCGGCGACACTAGCGGCTCCTATAGTAGCACCCTGTAGCTCTGTCCCCGGTTTTAATGGAGAGTAGCACGGCCCTGATGACGTGCAGTCGACGCCCCGAGCAGTGTGTCTGCCGTTGCGCCCGGCGTTTCTCGCGAGCCCCCCCACTGCGTCCGCGCGCGGCCCGCGGCGCGCCGACGCGCCTCCACCCCCCACCACCAGCACCGCCTCCCCCTCCACTCCTCCCCGCCGCTCGGCGCCGAGCCGCTGCGCCGCCGCCAGTCGGCCTCCGACGGCCACGAGCCACAAGTTCAGGCTCCACTCGACTCCACGCGACGCGACCCGCCGCGCCGCGCCCGCCGGCCCCCCGGCCCGACGCACCGGGGCAGCGACCTCGCCCACCGACGGATCGCACCCGTCCGCCTAAGGAAGTGCGAGTGTGGGGCAATTGCTCACTTCGCACACACGCACCTGCTCGAGCGCCGTGCGCATTTCCAAGCAACAATTTGGTCACGTACAAGCATCGTGTGTTCTCCTGGTTCTGACAACTCTCTCACGCCTGCACGTGTTAGCGTGAACCAGCCTAGCTGTGAGTTCGCGTAGAAGGAACGTGTGTGTGTATATGTATGTGGAGGAATCGGACACATCGCGCATCTGTGCAAGTGCCGTGCGGAATGGGAGAAACGTACGCGTGGCTGTGTGTGGACCTCGGTCTGTCTGCTCTGACAACACTCCCACGCTTGCACGTGTTTGGGTGAACCGTTCACCTCTGTTCGCCGTGAATTCGTCACATCGCACCCGCCAACATTCGCACCTGTTTAAGCACCAAGCTCCGGGTGCCGAGTTGGAAGAGACGTACGCACGTGTGTATACGTGAAGGAGTTGCTTGCATTCTTCCGAACACTCTCGCCCCTGCATGTGTTTGAATGAACAATTCGCTTCGTCCAACTTCAGCTCGCGGAAAGTGTTCGTAAAGACCGTGTTGATGTGGACCGCTGGGTGTCATTCGAATTTGGTCTGCGTGCGGGAGAAAGTGTCGGGCATGTTTATTCCACTTCTGCCGACTCTTCGAACAATCTCACATTCCTGTTCAAGCACTTGTTTGGATGGACAATTCCCCACGTGAGTTCGCTCAACGTGTTGAATTCGTTTGGAGAGGCAAGTGTTAACAAGGACTATCTATTTATACACGGACCGGTGGCCGTGATTCAAATCTTTGCCTGCGTGTAGAACAAGTGTTCGGCGTAAGTGTTGGACTTCTGCCGTCTTTCTGTGTGCACCTGCAACCATCTGCTGCAAAGCGCGTGTGTAGATGAAAGATTTGTCTCGTCGTGTTTCGGTTATTCTGTCGCCCGATGTTTGAATTCGTTCGCGATCTACCTTCGGAAACGGTAGTGTGCGTTTGATCGTGTCGTGGTCTCCCTGGTGTGATACATTCCTGAAAGTCTTGCTTGCGAATTTGAAGAAGAAAGGGTATAATTCTTCATTCAGCTCTTCCATTGCTCTTCAGCTCTATAATCTGCACTGTTTTGAAAACAAGTGTGACCAGTAATTGTACCTTTTACAATTTAAGCTACATTTGTTCAACGTTCGCCTCTTGTTGCAGTCTCCGCGTGGAAAGCACGCTCTCTCAATGTGATTCTGCTCTCCCAACAATTGTTGTTTGTGGACATACGTGTTTCCAGTAGCAGCAGGATAAAATAATCGCACGAGATAACATATACGTTGTCTTATTCCCACCTGATGTTGTGGTACTAACCATTCACACATTCCCCCGTTTAGCGTCGATTCATCGTAGTGGACCGAACCGTGACAAAAAACATCGACCGGCGAGTAATACATCCAAGAAGAGTAACTGCTAGTGTGTTGTGTATACGAAAATCTAGTCCTGTCATCTAAATGAACATCTGTACTGCCGAGAAGTTTTAGTCCCTTCTGAATATACCTGATAGTTTTTCCCAAAACTGGACTCTGTATTTCAATAATAGACGTGACAGCGAGAGTATTACTTTCGAGATAACATTTCGTAATTGTGCATTCGCTCTCTTTACTTTCGAGCACGTCGAACTGACCTTTCCATCTCACAGAGAAAGATATATTTACAGTACAGAACACCGCTGTACAAATATCTGGACCACAAAGTGTACGAAACATCGTATCGCCGTAAAAACGAAACTTTCTGTCCCACGCATGACTCACAGCGGATGGTGACTGGGGCGTAGAGAGAGAACAGTAGCAGCATCTGCGCAAGTGTTTTCCGGAACAGTAAAGAATATTTTCGCAATTTCACATCATCTGCGCCGATTCTGCTTTTAGACTCGTTCGCAACGAGGTCCACGTTGCAGCCCCTTGTGCAACGAACGGTACGCGCGTCGTAGTTGCAGCTGTAAAGCACGTAGCAGACCGAGCCAAGCGTTCGACTGAACCCACGTCTGACTACGCAGGAAGTGCCAGTCACGTTATATCAGGGCTCAGAAATAGAATTCTTAACGTCTCGAGAGTGCGTCCGATTAACCCAAGAGCCAGCTCATGAGCGGTACAACTCGAGTGCAGAGAATTCAAGTGCGAGCAACTCCTAACGAGGAAATTCAAGTGCGTGTGTAGTGATGAGAGTTCGTGTGGTTAATGAAGGCTTTAAAGCCAAACGAACCTTATTGAAATTTTAACGCACGAGTTGATTCCAAACTTAGTAAGGAGCCAGTCCTGAATAATTATTCTCGATTTAATGTGCCGTCTTGTCGAGGGCGTTTTTGTGTAAATATACTCTTTCGACGCTTCGTGTATGTGTGTAAACTCCGATCTGAAATTTCGATAAAGTTTAAAGAGGACACGGCAGGATTACGGAAGCGTTTTTTTGTACACAGCTTCACTTCGTGTTTGCTCTCCGTAAAACAAATTACTGTATCGTACATTCAACCCAGCAGCTGCGGCAATTTCGTATCTGGGTTGTCGCGTTTCAAGCTCACCTGCTTCAAGAGTCCCTTCCTGGGATACATTGTCGCTTTAAAAGAAGATAATTACGAAAAAGTTTCAAATATCGTAGCAATTAGTTGTAACCAACAATAAATTAGCAATATTTAAAAAAATTACCAAATGTCTTTCTAGTCTGGCGTTCTCTAGTCAGTTAAATTTTTAAAATAAAATTATATGTGTAGAGTGTATTTGTGCCATTTCGCATATTTATTTCAAGAATAACACCAAAGAAGTTTCTATAAAAACATAACAATTTTTTTAGAAAGAGTACTTTAAAAGCTGTCTACGTGTTGTCTGTTTAAAGTAGTTCGACGACCTAGTCCAACCAAGATTTGTCGCATCTGCGTCGTGTCCTGAGGCCAAGTCAGACATCCGCAGTTGAAGCACGTTCATCTAGCTACCTTACGAAGGTCCGGTGACGTTAACGGAGTGCTTAACCTACTTCGGTATCATCATAAAAAACAAACAACTCGGAAACGTGACAACTCGGCGGAATATCGACAACTACCAATAAAAGCGGTTCTAGCTTCCCTGTGCAGCTCCGGCGAGTGACGTGCAGATTTGTAACTGTCATTGGGAGCGCCGTATGAAGTCAAGACCTAAAGAAGAAAAAGAAAAGAAATCGCGAGATACTTGGATTGAGCATTTCGTGCCATTGAACTTCCGGTTCCCTGAGCTACTGAATGGGATAGTCCACTGGGAAGCGAGGCGGTCGAATCGTTCCGCTCCTGTGCTTGCGAGTGGAAGCTCGGCCAAGGAAGAGGAAAGAACCACTGGACTCGCAACATTTTTTTTCGCGCACCCGAACCGTGAATTGAGTGGCATTTTGTGAAGTGCTGTATAAGAAGTCTCTGGACATTCCTGGACGTTTTCGAGGCGTAGTATCAGAATTGTTCTTTGACCGGTAAGAGAAAAAGATATTGAAATTTCGACAGCTACAAGTTTTCTTTAATAATCGAAAAAGAAGAGAAGTATTTAGCGTCTGTTCTGTGTCACGGGCAACTGAATGCCGTAACTCCGGAACAGAACACCTTTGTAATAGATCAGACCTAAAGAATCTTTCAAGAAAAAAAGTTACTTCTCAGAAATATCTATACTCTTAACTATCTGACACAAATAAACTGTGAATCTACGATTCAAACGAACTTTGTTTCACGACCAATAAACAACAGAATTCGTCATCAGGTGTTAGTCAGGAGAAAAATAAAACTGAAGGAGATAACCCCGCAAGGAAGTATTTCTTGATTAACTCTGAGGACTCCTACAAAAAACAAACAAAAACATTTACTTCTGTATAGTGAGATCCGTAATTCTCCCTGTAAACATATAACGTAAGAGATACCGTGCGTTCTCAATCATCAGAATTCATAGTGTGGATAAAAACAACACCGAATTCGGAGTCGTATTTCTTCCGTCGTGCGTCTCCTCGGACAAATCACCGCTCTGTACGAAATTCCCGTCGCCCACCTAGCGAGCCAGTTATCTCAACCCGTCGGCCTGTCCACTCATTCACCCGCCGCACCCAACGATATCTCTACTCATCGTTCTGTCTCTCTCGCCCGCGGAAGATAAGATCGCCCGCCCTCTCTCTCTCCCTTCTCGGCACGTGCTTCGACTGTTGAGCGACGTTCTGGCCGGCGCATTCCAACGCGCCGATCCAGCGCCGCGGTTCCCAGAGGGCCGTGTGACGCCCTCGCAATCCACACGATCGATACTCGCACAGCACGCCGAGCCGTGCGAGGCGCGAGGACAAGTCGATAGTCGCCCGCCACGAACCACGGCCGCACGGGACATTTCGCTTCCGAGGAAACACAAAAAAAGGAACTGTCGGAAAGAAGAAAACACTGCCACCTAGCGTCGTCTCAAAGCAAGTTCTCTGCTCGTAGAAGCGTGGAGATAAAACAAGAAATAAACATTTTTGTTGTTGGTTGTTCCGCGTTGCGTGACGCTGAAGAACAGAAAAAAAAATCGCTGGTTGATCGTCGTTGAAAGAAGCGCTGTTTATTTCTGTAGACGAATCTCAACTGTAAGTTAGGAATAAAATAGTTGATAGAGCAGTTTATTTAAGAGTGATGAAACGCGAAAAAAAACCAACTCTGAAGTTTTGTGACTGAAGGGTACGTTACGATTTGATTTAGAAGGTCGTCTAGTTTTGATTCCGAGACGATTATAACCGTAAGATCGAAGTAGGGAATATACTTCTTACGAATTAGTGACTTCACGAAAAGGACTGTCGCAACTAAATTGTTGTGCGAGTGTAACTTCATTTCTCAAGAAGCATCAAGTCTCGATTCTGAGTGGCGAATTACAAAATATAGCGAGTTATTGCTCTCACTATTCGTGAAGAAAATAACGGCTTTACGTGTGTCGAAGAGTATTTCTGAACTTATAACCAAGAACAAGTTAAGAAAAAAAGTGTTCGGCGTGCTTCAGCTTTGATATCAAAGAAATATCTCTGATCATCTTTGACATTTTTATAGAATTGAATCTGTCGTCACAAGTTCGCCATCCATATAGAAACCCACAACACGGGCGTTGCGAACTAAAGGAACTTGCGCATCAGTTGCTAAATCCGACGCATGAGCACAGAGTGACACAATGGATAGGTTCCAGTAAATGCTATGAATTGCTATATAAAGAGACTCGTGGAATCATTTATCCAAATATTCCTGAACCTCGTAGTTCGTACAAAAAGCGTCACGGAGTTTAACATTGAGAACCACCCGGGCAAATTCATCCGTATGACAAGTGCCAAACCAGAATACGTAAGTGCAGAAGTTCTGATCTAGCTACGTTTCTATCTTTGCGCAGTCTCGAAAGATTTGGAAAACCTGAACAATTCATCCAGGCCCAAACCAGTATAGAAGAAACAAGAATAAAAAACAGTAATCTTCCGTGAGAATACTCAAGAAGCCTAATATAAATACGCTTCTCTTCCGAAACTGTTCGTAGATTTGGAGAATCCAAAAAAATCCTCACAGACCCCGAATACACAAGTACAGACGCCGTGATCGGCAGCTTCCATCCTTCCCGGAAAGTGCAAAACCCTTGGAAGATTTGCCGCGAGCGTGTAAGAAGCAAAAGAAACCGAGCTCGGTTCGAGTGATAGTGGCGCGATCCGGCGCTTTATCTCCAGGCCTGTCCGCCTCCGAACAAGTGCAGCGTTGTGAGCGCAAGGCCGGCTTCTGTCCGAGTGCGGCCCCATTACAGGCGCCTCGCTGGGGACGAGGTGCGTTCTGCAGGGCTGGCACGTTGCTTCACCGCGCCGCTGAATGCGTGAATGTTTGTGCAACGTCGGCCGTCTGCCGGCGGCCGGTCGGGAGTGCTGGTAAGTGAACGCGGCCGGTGCTGACGGGGCGGGTTGGCTGGTGAAATTGTTGGGTATGAGACGGAGCCATTCAGAAAATGCGTTCCCGAAATTAGCATTTTTTTTTCGTCTTAAATGTAACCACCCGTCATTTGTATCACTTATTACCAGTTCCCGCTTATGTAGTTGAATAACTGTGACTTCATTAAAAACTAGTTAAAATTTCACGTGGATTTTGGTGTTTCTGTCTTTTCAAATTGAAAAAAAATTCCATTTTTTAAATTTATTTTAACATTCATTTCTTGTTCGATATTGTAGATAAGACTATGATTACTATCACTATTATTATAATAGCAAACTGTCGCGTGAAAGTACATTTTTCAACACCCTGTTCTCTCGTTCGCTCTTGCCACAAATTTTATAACTCCTTTTCCCCCAGAAAAGTGAACATATTTTGTGAATGGCCCCAGATCATGTGTTACTGATAAATAAAGGCCGGATTTTCAAGGGAAATAATTATATTTTCGACACAAAAGAATTCGTCGTGTGCAAGAGAATTTGTGTAGTTATGTACCGACTCATTTACGGTCGTTGCATTGTGAATCGTGTCATCTATCATCAGCTGGACTGATATTGACATGGCCGACATGGGTCTGTTATTTTGAAATTTAATTCATCAACATGCTGTGCGAATACTCGAACTCAAATTTATTTAAAGGAGACAAAAATGAGGATCAGTTGTTCTGAAAAAGGTTTTTAAAAATAAACAAAACAATAAAAGGAGGAATATTTTATTCGAGTACTCAATCTTTTTATTTGAATCAGACATACTTTCGTTTAAAAAAAATTAACGTTGGGGCAATTACCGTCGACGGTGATTGAAAGTCTGAGCGTGATTTTCATACGTTTCATTTGCATAGTTAACTCGAGGAACTGGTTTTAAGAAAATAATACATTTGCGTGTAATGCTTGGCCCCATTTTTTAGAATTATCAATTAACTTGAAAACGCAAAATTTTATTAATAGAACAAAGAAAGTAATTATGTTTGTGTACTTTAGCAGCTAGATCGTGAAAAAGAAATATAGATCGATGTGTAATTAATTTTGCACGTATTGTTAGTTGAAATTAAATGAAATTCCCTTTAAAATCCGGTCTCTACTAATAGAAATATTGGAAATTATGTTTATTAAAATTATGGTATTGCAGTACTGAACAGTGAACTCAGCAAAAATAATTTATTTTCAAACGAAATATTTGCTATGACTTATATTTGAACACACGTTCATTGTAAAATTCTTCGCTCCTGAGTATTCGGTTGCTAGAATGTGGTAAGAATTGTTACAGTTGTCCATTAAAGCTGTGACCATAATATTTCAATATATTTTCTTCCAAACGTTTTACAATTCAACAATAAATCTATATTAGATATTTCTTAAAGTAACCTAATGTCATTAATTAGATCAGTAATCCCATCATAAAACATTCGTTTATCAGATTTTTCTTCTCAAATAATACCACTCATGACTTTTGAGAGATTATTTTCTTCACAAGTATTTTAAATTGGCTTTGTTTTCAAAGAAACCTTGAAACTTTGCCGTGGCTAATATTGGAGAACTATTGTAGTAAATTCGTTTCGCAACTTACGTAAAACAATTTACGTCCGACAATTCGTCAAACCTAATCGTGCACAAAAGCGTGCGTGTGTCATGAAACAAAATCACTGTTTAAAACAGCTGAAATAGACATGATTCTCGTGTATTTATTTTTAGTATTCCTTACGAATCATCTGAGAGATGCGACCTTCCGAGAAAAAAAATCGAAAATAACTTGCCTACTAACCGGCTATACCTTAATATATTCCGTTTCGTAATGAAGTGTAATGTAAGGACCAAAAACTCTGAAATTTAGGAATGGAATTACAGCAAAAGCTCTAGGAATAATAGAAAACTGTTTTAACGGAAATGTAAAGAATGACAAATAAAAGATGTTCGAATACATTGCTCACAAATCGTGACATACATGCGCTTTTAGCCACCAATCCACTTATTTTTACGAAGCTTCAAATCGAGAACATACGACATAATTTAAATCGTACAAAAGCAAGAAACAATGTATTAGAAAAATTACAAAGATAAAAAGCAAAGATAAATTCATCAAAAATGAAGAGACGTTGATATAAAATATATTAAAAAAAATGCTATTAAATAAAAAGAAACGACTTAATAAAAATCAAGCTCGATCTTGGGGCCATAATACAGTAAAACTTGCTTAATGTGCTCTCTCAAGGGTCCAGCATTTTTTCCCGTATTGCACAAGATGCCGCATTATGCAAAGTAAAACTGTCGACTGTTTGTGTTAGGTAGGATCGTGATTTATGTTCAGATGAGACAGATTTCCGCATTTTAAACGTTCTGCATAGAGAAAGTTTTACCGTAGTAGTTATTTGAGAACAAAATACCTTCTTATTAAAGTATCAGTTCGACTCTTCTATTACGCAGATATTCGTGCGTATTTGAGCCATGCGATAGTCGATTTCCAGGGAAATTCCTTTACACCTTACGAGTGTCAGACATATACATAATTGAATGCCGGTGAAACGCAAAATAAAACATGGCATTAAACCTTGCATTCCCTGTGGAGGACTCAACGGTTCGCAGATCATTGTTTGTTTTTAAAACAATTGAAACCTATAAAAAAGCTTCAAATCGTTGATATTGTGTCTCTTTTGTTCAAGATATGATGCAATCTATCACAAGTGTTTGTTATAATTTGAGTTATGATGTTGTATTAACTTTTGTTTTTAAAAAAAGACCATTCATAATACATTTAGCAAATAATTGAAGTATTTTAAATCTTGGTGTAATACAGTTCAATAAGTTATTGTGTTGTGACGATACATCGGCCATTATTTGACGCAAAAACGTAATAGAGTTTGTCATTACGTGAAGATTGATGGGAGAAAGGTAATATATTAAAAAAAAAAAATACAAAGTTAGAAATTGAATAATGTTCACGTTTAAATTTCTTATGTTATGACTGTCTTATTATTAACAATATAATTAGGCATATATGGCCCTCCATATAATTTTGGACACTCAAAGTTTCAAAAGAATTTGAGAAAATCCCAAAAAATATTTTATACTTATTACACAGAAGAAATGTAATAAAGAAAATATTTTGTAAGATTTTCTCAATTTCTTACGAAAATGTTACTGTCTTAAAATATAGAGGACCACATATGCATGGTTTTATGTATATATAAATGTATGCACTGATATATTATTGGTTCAATCAACTGGTTAATTCATCAAAATCGTCAAAACAAAAACTCGAAATTTAAATATAAATTTTAGCGATGAGCTCAGCCAACACCCCTTTTTTGATAACGCACAGGATCGTATCTAGATTGATAGTGCTAGGGTTAGTTAATAATCACATCCTTCTGGGCGTCTACGTTATTTTTACGCACCGAAAGCCACGGTTTTCACCTTCATAAACGCGGGCCAGGCGCGCTTGAAACACTTTCCCCCATCGAATTCGTCTAAGTAGGTTTCTGAACAGCCCTCTCACAGTCTCCACAACAGTCACCTGTGCGACTGTGAATGGAGACGAGCTGTGTGTGTGTGTAGAGACAGAGACCAGAGGCTGTGGCGTGGTTAACGGACTCGGTGACATCGCAGTACTCGCTCTGTAGAAAAAAAGAGGACACGATGACGTGACTTTTTTTATTTGAGTCGGTATGTGCTCGGAGGGTAAGGCCGCGTTTGTGGGAATTGGATCACTACTTTCGAAAGAGAGTCGCTTTACCTAAATAACAGATTCCCAATGTGCGCGAAAATTGAAAGTAAACTATGCAGTCTCGGGTCAAGTAGGTGTTTGGGGGTGTCATTATCTAGCCAGGAACCCGGGGAAAAATAAAACTAGTGGTGCTACAGAATGGCACAGACTTTCTCGTACCAGTTTTCTAATGTATTTGGCCTGGCCTAGCTTTTCGGTTTGGCCACATCCACTTACCAACTGATATCTATCGCCGCCAAAAGTACATTTTTTTTAAAAAAAAGTATCAGTTTTCCAGCTTTGGAATTGCAGCACTGAAATATTGGTATAAGATAATTGTATGAGGGTAAAACCTCGCCCTATACGGAACTTTTCGTTTAAAAATTTGGATTGTTAAGAAAATTTCGCTTAAACGTTGTATGTAAATGCGAAATTTGATGCTCTTTTTCACAGAAATCTTTTGAGTTTTCAAAACACTTTATTGAAAGTAATTTGAAGCACTTCAACTCACAAATGTAATGCATTTTCCTTAATTGCTTTGGTACGTCGTTTAACTCTCCGGGATGGCATTGACAAGCAAGTGATTAGCAAGCTTAAATTAACTTATCCAAATAATTGGGTCAAAATCTTTTGTTTAAAAAAAAACGCGGTCATATTATCTAACTTTTGCCGCCGATTTATAGGTCAGTTTAAAAATACCTTTAGGCAAGTGCGGCCCTGCCGATTGCGTACGCATTCTCTCGTTAGAGAATGACATTCCGGCGATCTACAGGCACTTCCGGTTGCGCCGGAAGTGGGCGTCCGTTCTGCTTTCGCGCCGTCGGTGGAGGGGGTGGAAAGGAAGGGAATTCCTGGAAGGCAACGTTTCAGTTTCCATGCTTCGTTTTTCGCCTGGGCGCGTGAAGAACTCGGAACAGATAACACTGATAGCAACTAGAAATGAGATATTGATTCATTTTCTTTTTCTTACTTCGCAATAGCTATTTCAAGCTAAGTTCAGTTTACGCCTGCCTGACGTCCACGTCCTAGCACAGTCAAGATGACAGTAGACGCAGTGAGAACTTGTGGGAATGTGCGACATAACAAAACTTTCACCCTTAGTGTTATGACTCAACAATTAATACTATGACGGGACTATGTCAGTCAGCTCTTATTCTCAAATACTAATGAAGGAGGAAGATACAGCAATTCTGGAACCGTACTTCTTATCGAGAAAAACATCGTCAATCGTGAAATTCAAAAA